TTCCACTTTATTATCGCTTTCTGGCCCACGTGTAATAACGTCCTATGAGTCTATACATGGAGTGTACTAGTGCCCAGGAAGGACCTTTATAATCAGTCTATATGAATAGCCCGCCCTACAAATACAGAACTTGTGGATATGGCGATTCATCCTGGCTTTGTCCCTCAATGACCACAGTTAAAACTGAACTTGTCGCCTCATCACCATACCCACAACTTTTGCATTTCTGTGGCTATTCATTCAGTCTGGTTATAAAGGTCCTTCATGAGCACCAGCTTGCTCCATACATCTGAAGAAGCAAACCAAGTCTACAAAAGCTTATGCTACAATTTCTTTTGGGTCGTCTGTTTGAGGGCTAGATCTACTTCCTCAGATGCATGAACTGTTGGCCAGGAAGGACTTTTATAATCAGATTGTGTGAATAGCCATAGAAATGCAATCTGGTTATAAAGGTCTTTCCCAGGCATCAGTAGACATCTGAGGAAGTAAAAGTCTACGAAAGCTTATGGTACAATGTCTTTCTCTCACTTAAGTCTTATAGGTGCTACAAGATCCCTTTGCCCACTCAAAACTACTTTAGCTTATTTATTTTTAACTCCTGTCCATCAGGCTTGTGAGACAACGTGGCGTAATGGTTTGAGTGTTAGACTACAACTCTGAAGACTAGGGTTCAATTCCTAGCTCAGCCATGAAATTCACTGGGTCTCTTTGGACAAGTCACACACTCTCAGCCTCAAAAGGCAGCAATGGCAAACTTCCTCTGAACAAATCTTGCCAAGACTAGTCTAGAGTCTTTGTACATTTTCCTCTGTAACAAACGCAGAAGGCAAAAGATCTTCTATCTTTTGACAGAGAAGGCTAAATGTCTCACAAAACTATATTTCCAAGAATGCCGTATCATTGAGCCAAGGCAGTTAAAGCGGTGTTATAGCACATTACTTCTGCAGTGTAGATGCAGTCTTGATCAGGCAAAAGATGTTAAAAAATCGTTGTTGTGTGCCAAGAAGATTCTGTGACAGGGTCAACTTAAGTCGGAAAGGACTTACGGGCGCACAACAACGACAACAAACCAACACTCAAAATGGAGGACATTCAAGAAAGAATGCAGAGCATTCCTAAATAAAAGCCAAAAGCATTCATATAAATGTACACTCATGCTTTTGCTCCTGCTCAAAATGGAGGGCTTTGCAAGAAAGAAAAAAAGGTAGAGCATTCCCAAATAAAAGTTACAAAACACTCATGTAAATACGTAAACCCATGCTTTTAGTTCTGCTCAAAATGGAGGACATTGCAAGAAAAAAAAATGTAGAGAATTCCCAAGTAAAAGTAAACAAAACACTCGTGTAAACATGTAAATCCATGCTTCTTAGTCATGCTCAAAATGGAGGGCCTTTTGGAATTCCTCCCGGACAGGAAGCCCGG